GTGACGGTTAACAAGCCAGTAGAGTAGCAGCTGCGGCCACAGCTAACGCACTCCTCTGTGGCATTTCTGCCACTAAGGTAGCAGCGGTAGGAGGAGGTCCCCTGGGGCTTCTTATTAATTTTCTCGGTGACTCTCTGGGGCTGACAATGTCCTCAGTGCTCAAAGATGGGGCCATATACCAAATGGAAAAGACCCGCCCAAAGAGCCAACTCCGGAGCGAGCCAGGCCCAGGAGGAGAGAATGGCGCCAGCAGGCACTGCACGCACAGGCCCACCCAGAATGTCCACAGCGAGCCAGGTTCCCAAGGGCCCCTTGCTGGACGTGCTGGGAAGAGGTACTCTGATGGCCTTGTCAAACGTCGTGGCATCTACACGAATATGACACAAGCACTACATCCTGCAATTCACTGCCATGACGTTAGAATCATCCAGGAGCAACTTCCAGGGCTCTGTGCCCTGCAGGTCCCAGGAGGGGACTGTCCCCCACCCCAAACCCAGGATGGCTCCCAGAGTCAGAGAATGCCCCCTTCAGAGGACAGGGCTACTAATGCGGTAAGACAAGGAAACTCGCTCAAAACTCTCTCTAACGCCTGTGTCGACGCACCCCCCTTCCCCCTGCCCCGCCCCCCCCCATGGTGAGCAGTGATGCTCAAAAGGCACGTTATTGCATTAGAAAAGGCTGCCGCCCAGCACCTCATTTTCAGCATCTCTTATTTGAAACAGCTTAGTGATAACTCGAGTATAATTCTGTCTTAATGTGACCAGCAGAGGACATGGGCCCCTCTGGGCACAGGAGAGTGGGGAGGGGCTACAGGAAGAAAGAGCAGGTGTGATGGAGGTCGAGCGTTCCCTCGAGACACACTCGTGGTTTCTGTTGGTTCTGAGGTGGGAGCATCAGGTCCTGGAAGCGCCAGCCCTGTGCACGCAGCCCGAAGCCCCCGGCCCCCAAGCTCGCGTCTCCTCTGCAGAGCCGACCTGGGCGCCTGCGGGGCGGGGAGGAAACGCGGGCTGCAGAGTGTGCCTACACCTGACGTCACCGGGAATTTACTACTAGGAATGGATCGTGCATTAATAGGACACATTATTCCTAGGCTGACAGAGCCCAGATTCCCCTGCATGGATTCCAGCCTGTGATGCTCACGCTCTCTCGAAGCCCCCGGCAAACGGGCGGGTGAGCCACTTCATGGCAAAAATGTGAAGCCCGGTGCTTGGGAAAGAACAGATGGGAAAAGGCGTCCTAGAGACCCATTCCTGGGGAGCGCGGGGGCCTCCAAGGCCCAGAGGGGAAGACTGCTGAGCTGACCGTCTTGTTTTCAGGGCAGGAGCGGGTACGACATTGCCACTGGAGTGGAAAGTTCTGGGTAGGGGATGAGGCTGGCGATGGAAACGCGGAGGGAGGCAGAGGGAGAGCACCTTCCCCTGCACTCCTTGGCCCCGCAGATCAAGGGCAGGAAGTCCTGGAGGTGAAGAGTTAACAGGAACGAAGAAGCTGAAGCAGCAGTGGCAGAGGAACAGTGGCGGTCTGGGAGTCGGAAGCCAGCAGAGGGCAGGAAGAAGGAAATCTACCGTGGGGGAGGGACCAGGGACGAGCCGAGAAGACGAGAAGACGAGAAGACGGGAGGCTGCAAGAGGCACCCGGCTCTCAGGCTCCCATCGTCTGCTGCTGGGGCTGCCACTGTCACCAGGGAGGGCAGGGGCACCTCTTGGGAGCGCCCGAACCAGGCTCCTCAGCCAGGAGCCCAGAGATTAATTACGTGAGGCCTCCATGGTCATATTAAGCAAATGACAATAATTACAGGACTGCTGCTACTGCTGGAAGAGGAAACAGCAGCTCCTTCGGAGAGAGTCACAGACCACGGACCCCGAGAGGTCACCGGGCACGGGGCAGCCCGCTCAGTTTACTGCGGTGGAGGCTGAGGCCGGCTCGGCCAGGATGAGGGACGTGCCTGGCTCCTACGTGAGCTGGTATCGCTGCAGGACTAGAAGCCAAGTCTCCTGTCTTCCAGCTACACACCGCTGTTTCCTTCCATAAGAAGGTGGAGAAGTGCTTCCTCAGATTCTATAGGGTGACGGGAGGGGAGGACATGTGCCAACTCAAAGTGGCCCTGTGCCCAGTAGCTCCTGTTCCCCAGCCCTGAGAAATCAGAGCTGTGAGGCCAGCCCCAGGACCCGGCCAAGGCACAACCCGGGCACTAACCACAGAGGGGCTGCCAAGATGGACCACCCCAAGGTGGGAGCAACTCCAAGTGGCACCTTATCATGGACAAACCGCAGCCTTTCTCCCTGACCCTGACCTTGCGGGTGAGGGGACGATGTGACCTCAGGTGTGGAGATGCCCCCTCTAAGCACTACCTTGCCAGGGCTGTCCCAGCTGATGAGGACGGGGCTGGGCCCTGTAAACCAGGACAGCTGACGGTGCTGGGGGCTGCCCTGCTGCTCCTGGGCCACCTCCAGGACGGCTGCCCAGAGGACGGGTGCTAGCTGGCACATTCCGTAAAACATGGACGGGGTGAGAGCAAAGGCGTAGAGGGGTGTGCGGAGGTCACGAAGCACCTGCGAATCCAGGGACCTTAGTTCCAACTCCAGCTTCCCTCTGCAACCAGGTCTCCTCCCCTCTCTGAGCCTCGGTTGCTTCAACCATTAAATGGGAGAATACCACCTGCTGTGCCTGCTTTTCCCCACAGTTATGTAAAGGATAAAGTGGAGTAAAAAGCACATTGCAAACTGGGAAGTGCCGAGCAAATAAATGTAAGATACAGTCATAACGACTTTCCAGGGCTGGAGGCATCTGACCACCGGGTGTGCGAAGCACAGAGTGAAGGCTGGTGTGTCCTTAGACACAGGAGGCCCGGACTCCTTGGAGCAGCCCGAGCCTGCCGCGCTGAGCAGCTCTGGCCCATCTCTGGCCTCAGCTCTCTGATGGTCACTGCCTCTAGTCTATCTCACAGATGCGGGTAACTGCCCAATGTTGTGCCCCCAAATGGTGCCCTGGCTCTCACTCTCCTGCTCTTCCCCTGAACTCACCGCCTGCCTGGTTTCAGACATCGCACAGCCTGACAGTTCTTGAGCAACTACTACATGCAAGGCATGGCCTTGCCAACTTCACAGGTTGCTTTTTGGATCAACTGAGATGACAGGTGCCCAAATAAATAATAATTATAAGTTCCACCATTACTTATATCACCACCACCATCATCACCACAGATAGCAAAGGAGACATGAAAAGAGGGACATCTCGTTTCTCGAGGTGTTGACACCTGCAGAGCCAGGCCAAGGCGGGGCCCCATCAGGAGCAATGCATTCTGGGGAGCGATTACCAAAACTCAGAGGGTTCCAGAAAAGGCCCCGCCTCAACCTTTGCAGAACTCCAACCTGCAGGAGGGTCTCGAGGTCTTGGCCACCAAGGAGGGCCGTTGCAAGCCCCGGAGGCTGACTCCCCCGTTTCCTCCCTCGTGGCTTTGTCATTTCTGAACTCGGTTTTGTTCTGTCACTGTTCCCTGGACAGCCCCCAGCTAGACGGTTAGTCTGGTTCCTGTTTTGAGAAATCTGATTGCAAACTGTCTTAGAAAAAAAGGGCCCTAACGGCCTTTTCAAAACGCAGACCCATTTTCCTCCCCCAGGCCTGGTGTTCAGTCAATCCGAAACCCAGGGAACAGGCCCCGGAGACAACTGCATGGCACCCCTTGAAGCTCTGGGCCCTGCTTCAAAGACCTGGGACACCGAATAGTCAGTCATAGCCTATTTCGCACCATTCACATTTCACAGATGAGAAAACAGAGGCCCAGAAACGGCAAGGGACTTGCCCAAAGTCACATGATGAGACCATAACAGCTAGGACAGGCCCAGGCTCCCGGGCTGGCCCGGAACCAGCATGCCAACTCTCAGGCAGATATGGAGGAGTTGCTGGGACTGGTCTTACCACGTGACATAAGGAATCATAGTGGGCACACAGCTCAGAACGGCCAGGCCCTGGCTCAGGCCAGAGTGGTGGACACAGTGTGGAACTAGAAGCCAGAAGCCCTGATCTGGTGGCCAGGCACCACTCTGGAGTTATCTGTGACACCGGACAGGCCACTCACCTCTGGAGCTTCAGCTTCCCCACCTGTTCCACGGGGACAAAACCACACCTGTCCTACCTGCCCATGGGCTCAAACAATGGGAAAATACAATGCTGGGCAAACCTCAGCTATCATCCGTACCTTGTACACTTCTGTGCCTACATCCTGTATGCAGTTTAAACTTTGATACCAGGTGCAGTGACATCGGCTGTCTCACAGAGAGGTGGCAGCCGTGGTCCAGCTGCGGCAGGGTGCTGGGATGTCCCCCAGCAAATAGCACCTGCAGGGCACCATCTATAGGGCCTGTCAGGGGAGGAATGCCTGGGGAGGGCAACCGTGGGTGTCTCCCACGCTGGGATGGGGCACACACCACACCCTGCTCCCCACCACTGCTATGACCCCCGAAGCACTCTCAAACCCACCCCAAGCCAGTGACCCACTGGCTTGTTGTCTCCTCCAAACCTTACACAAGTGTCTACCAGAGGGGTCCGGGGGTGGAGGCAGTGGAACCCCAAGGCAGGGTGGACTGGGCGTAGGGGCAGCAAAAGGATGGCCGATGATACAGCCAGGCCAGGTCGATGCTCGGAGGCAGAGGAGGGGGACCCGACGGGGGACGGTGGAGGAGACCAAAGGCTGCCCGGAGAATGAGGAAGGGGCAATGGAGCCCGTGCGGGAGAAGACGGAGTGCGTGAAGGGAACCGGAGGCCGAGCGGGGCAGGGGGCACCGAGCCGGCTGGGGAGCCAGCGGGGCTGGGAAGCCCTGGCCTTGGGGCGCTCCGGGTTCAGGTGCACAGGGCCTGGCGCGTAAGGGTCGGGTCAGGGCTGCCGGACCCCGAGCGGTGGCTGGGGCAGAAGGGGTCACGGGGCAGTGCCCGGCCGGTCCGGGCTGCGGGGTCCGGGCGCCCGGCAGAGAGCGGCGCCGAGGGGCCGGCGGCTGCCTCACCTGGGCTCGGGCAGCAGGATCTTCTTGCTGGCGCGCGCGGCCGGCGTGGCCTTGCTCTTCTCCATGGCCATCAGGTAGCTCACGTCGGCCAGCACCGCCTCCAG